TGGTGATGGTTGTGGTTATTATTAGCATTATTATTATTATAAACAACATAAACACGATCTCTTGGTTGTTAATAGTTTCTCTTGTGAAGAATGTTGAATAGTTCTCAACTTCTCAGTTTTGGAAAGGGATCAGAAATGATTTTTGTTTTTATTTCCTAATGGGCAACAGTAGGCCTAAGAAAAACATTTCAGATTTCCTGACAACTGGCGAATTTTTAGGAACCTGAGCAGGGATAGGAAACATTCCACAAAACAATTGAATGACCGTGTTTCTGCTTTTATTTCAGCCATGACAAATAGTCCATATTTTTAAAAGCGTATCCAAGCATTCAGAATAGTTTCAGGCAGTATTTCTTCAAGGAATGTCTTTGTTTCTGCAAAATAGAATACTTGTTGGTCTATACTATTGGTGGATAAAAGCAAGTTGCTGGTGTAGTTTCATATCCCAGAGAAGTATTTTTTCAGCTGCAAGATCAGAGCGATATTTGGCTAATCACTTCTACATCCATCCAACACACCCAGTGTCCATTGTCACCTCTAGTTGTCAGTGCTTGAACCCCCTTGAAATTATTGCTGCTTATGTCTAAAGCTGATGGTTCAATTTTCTTTAGACAAAATACTTGAGGAGCCTTTTAATGAGAATGAAATTGGGCACGCTAGGAAAACTGTCCTGCTGAGAAATCCATTAGAAGCCGTGGAGCTGTGCTCACTTCTTCTCTAGGCCCTAAACTGAGTAGCTGGGAGCTTTAGGTTCTGTGTTTAAATAATATCACTTTTGTAGTCTGCCTATGCAAAGAATGCAGTCTTTTTATTATTTGATGGGAATGTTTGTATGTGTTAGTTATAGTTTGCATTAGGATTTGCTATTATGTCTTTTTTTTTCTCTGAAGAACAAAATTCCCAAATAAGCTGCCTGCTTCCACCCTGCCCTGTTTCTGTTGATTTGGCTCCTCGCTCTGGTCCCACACTGGATTTAGTGTATTCTGCTACCTTTGTACTGATGGTGCTACTGTTCCCCCCCCCCCATCTTCTTCCTTGGTGTTGCCTGAATTATGTGGCATTCCGCTGGTCTTCTTCCTGCTTTATCTGCTGCTGTGCGCTAAAGATCTTGCTGCATTTCCTCCCACTCTAAATCTGTGTGGTTTGTACACTCTCTGTGGATGCATTATGTTTTCTACATCAACCTCATTCAGGAAACTCTTGGGGCTTTCTCCTGTCCTCTTCCAGGCCCCTTGTAGTATCCACGACTGCCTAGAAAAAACTGCAGTATAAGCTTCCTCCTTCTGGGCCTGGCTCCATTGGAGTAAAGCCCATTTCCACATATCTGCCCTGACATTTCCCAGGTTTGGCGTTTTGGGGTGCCCAAGAGTCCCTGGCAAAAGAGCTGCAGATAAGAAAAACAAAGCCTGTTGTGTTCTTTATCCTTGCTCCCTCTTTCTGTGTACTGTTCTGGTTTCTTTTTATTGATCTTGTGCATCTGGAAATTGGTTTTTCTGAAAATGAAAGTCTTGTAAGAGGACCAAGAGGGGGAATCTTTCTGCATACCACCAGGGAAGTGGATTTGGGAGATCAGCAGTCTGCATTTCTGATGTCACCCTTTGCCCTTTTGTAAATCACGAGGCACTTCATTGTTTTTAAATCTTGTGCACTACTATAGAAATATAGCGCCGCCTTTTCCCTGGCATAGCTCTTTATTCCTGTCTTGACTTGCTCTCTACAATTATCCTCCTTGCTTTAGTAGGCCTGTGGTTTACTTCATATTAAACCCAGAAGAGAATATTTGGAGCCAGTCAAAAAGAATCCTTTGAATCTCTCCTACTAGATTTGCCCTCACTAGAGAGACCTGTTCCCCATTAAAGTTTAATTTAACTTAGTGTGACGCATGTAAGGTGTGTGGCTTCAAGACACTCTTTTGACTGGACCTTGTCTAAAAAAACCGAGTAGCTTACTAAGATTTTGTGCAGCGAGGAGAGCCTGTTTCCTATTTTCAACTCTCTGCCTGGGTATCCTCTTCACGGCCTGAGTGGCGCAGCCAGAGATGGGGGAACTGCATCAAGACGAGAGCAGCTCGTGTGGGAGGAAGGCCTTCCCTGCTACCCTCGTTCCAGCAGTTTGTTCATGCCTGGGATTGTTAATATTCTTCTGGCAGCTCAAGAAATGTCTGCTTAGGAGTGGCTCTGAGTGTCGTACTTTGGGTGGTGCATGCACAACCCCACCAGTCCCTGCACGCTGGTACCTTTAGGGCAGGCCAGACAAAAGACCGACCAGGGAAGCTGAGAACTGCCTGGCCGGGGAGGCTGAATGGATAAATTGGAGGATGGGAGGGCTTCATTCACATGGCAGAATTTTAACCAGATTAGGCCACCTTCGTCAGGGTAATGCCATTTCTTGCCCAAGGAACTGAAAAAAATAGCTTAGGAACAAGCCTTAGAGATTTTACAATTGGGAAAAGCAGAATATACTTAGGAGGAAGAGTTTCTAAGAAAATATATTTAGCTTCATTTGGATTAAAAGGTCTGAGGACGCTATAATGGGCCTTTCTCAGAGCCCATCCGAACATCACCTAGTTCAGACATAGCTGATGGACCAGCCACTTTCCTTCCATTTATTTCTAAACAGGAATTTTATGGATACGTTAACTCCCATACATATGGATGACATTCTAGTAATACATTAGTGTGATTCAGTTGGGATAAATTGGCCCTGCTGTTGGCTTATGAAAATGAATTCCAAGTCAGCTCTGAACTAATATTTTACTTCAGACATTTCTGCACTTCTGGAAGCAGCAGAGGAGATGTCAGCAACCTGAACTTTGTGGAGAGAGTTTTTAGCATACAGTATTTTGCTGTTCTTGGCAAAAATTTGTTCTGATTCAGGAAGTCCTGCTCAGCCTCTCTTCTCTTTTACAGAGGTTGGTCGGCTAGCAAGGCCAGGAGGGCCCTTTCCTGCTACCCTCCCCCAGCAGAAGAGGGTTTTTTCCTTGTCTCAGTTTCTGAAATCTGACCTAGAAGGAGGAGGATGGCCAAAGCCTCTGCAGTTTCAAGTCTGCTCTCACCCCACCCCCCACCCCGTCCTTCCTGTTTACATACAGACTTGCTTCCAGGCCAACTCTGGGGCTTGCCCTTCCACTTGGTTGACTTTGCCAAAACTCCCCTGGGCAGAGGGCAGCAGACTTAACCCCTTGACTCCAAGCAGGGCAGAGGCTGTGTTGGAGGATCTGCTTCTTGCTTTTGGCTGTGTGTGTGTGTGTGTGTGTGTGTGTGTGTGTGTGTGTGTGTGTGTATCAAATGTTCAGGCTCCTGGTCCGGTGATTCTTGGCAGCTGACTGCAAACTTTTAAACCATCCATGGGTATGGTTAAAATGAAACAAATAACAAAAGAGTAGCATTAACAAGTCTTAAAAATGGCCTAAGCCGGTAAATGGTTCTGGAGCAGAGCAGGCAGCCCCAATCTTCTTTGGTCAGTGCACATCTTTGCAGTGGTTGTGTGGCAGGGTGGCTTTTCCAAGAAGTCCACAGGGCCAGTCCCTGGTTGGAGAGAAGAAGTGAGTCCCTGAAGATGCCCTGAAATGGAACTGCCCTCTCTCCATTGATTTTCTCCTTGGATCCCTGTCCTGGCTATATCAGGTCAATCAACTTTGGTCATCCCTTACAGCCGAGATACGACAGTCTATTATTTAGAGTGTAACTCAGGCTTTTTTTCCCCATAGAGAGTTAAACAACGTAATTTGTAATCTGAGAATATGTGCTGGCCTCTTTTTCTCTTTTCTTTGTAGAATGAGCAATTATTTATTCATTTTCTGGCATTCTGGATTTATATGGCATCCCATAGAGCAGGAAATTCCATACTACTAGCACTGAATTTCAGTATTAAGTTTCTGGGAAAAGGTGTCTTCCCCATTCTCCACCCTAAAAAGCTGTTTCAAACGCTGTTGGGATAGTTTTGGAGCTATGCAGCGCTTCTGTAATATCAAATATTGTAACTCTCCTTAGCATTCTCCGATTCCCCCGCCCCCCAAAATGCATAAAAACATCTTAACATGCAGTGCGGTATAAACCTCTTTGTTTTTATTATTCATTTTTAGATTGAGTATTCCCTGGCTTCTGGCATATTTCTGTCCCTCTGTGAGAACCTCCCGTAGGCCGACTGGTGGTTGTAGGAGAATGCCTGAATTGTGGAACACTTTCCTCCTGCCGCTGCTGCTGCTCCTCCTCCTCCTCCTCCTCCTCCTCCTTCTTGCCAGGATGAGGCACCTGGCAAACGTGGGAATGAAAGAGAGTCTTTTGCCATCTGTCTGTGCCAGAGCCTTATATCCTCTCTGATCCTCCAGGATTTTCATTCCTTGAAACTGCTGCCAATTCTGATAGAGGTCTTGAGGTGGGAGTCTGCAGGCTTTCCTCTCTAGCTGAAACGAGATCTTTTCCGCCTTCTGGACCAGAGGATCTCTAGATTTCACTGGTTGTGAAAGTGGAATGCCCCCTGCCAACAGTATGAAGTCATGGGGCTTGGCAGGCGTTTCCCTTTTTCTGTTTGGTTTTGGTTGAAAGTGAGATTTTTTTTTTAAAAAATCAGAATTTGCTGGGCATTAAACTGTTTGCTGAGAGTTGGATATTAACAGCAAATGTCTACACTTTTATTTAAGTAGGAAAATCTACCCCTGTTCTCATGCTGTATTTGTGCTTCAATATAGAAGAGACAGGTAATGGTCCTCAGACAAGCCTGCACCTGCTCCAATGTAGTGATTGTGTGTGTGAATACACTTAATTTGGTTTCCAGGTCTCAGGGACTGTTTGACCAGAGAATATGCTTTCTACCTTGAAATCAGTAGATCTTAGTCCTACTTGCAGAAGTCTTAAATGGAAACTTCCCTGCTGAAGGCCATCCATCTGGAAAGCAAAAAAAAAATCTGATCCTGTGGAAAGAATAAACTTAAGAACTGTTCTTGAAACAGTTTTTGGGCTGTGCGAAGGCTCGTTTTTTGTGTCTCTTTGGCCTAACAGAAAAACAAGGTCCTGAGCGGAAGAGGATCAAAAAGGAACCGGCGACTCGCAAGCCCAGCCTGCTCTTTGGAATGGGGCTGTCCGGGATTCGAGCAGGCTATCCGCTCTCCGAGCGCCAGCAGGTGGCCCTCCTCATGCAGATGACAGCAGAAGAATCCGCCAACAGCCCAGGTGGGGACAGGATCGATGCTTCTGCTTCTTTCTAAGGGAATGCTGGTGCTCTCCCCCCCCCCCGCCCCAGTAGATCTTGCAAACCTTTCCGAGAACTCCTTGACAAATGTTGGAGATTGGCACAGTTTGTGCTGGCATCAGAGGAATAGAGGCGCCTCTTAACTCCTGGTGTCCGAGATGCTTTTCCACAGCCACTTCCTACAGTAGTTGCCTCATCCTGGCCTTCCTTTATTGTCTCCCCCCAGAGGCCCTCCTTCCCCACATCCTTCAGTCTGCCTGTAGCTCTTGTGTATAGCTCCCTCTAAAGGCTTTGGGGGTTTGGGCCTTAATTAAGCACTTCCTTGTGTTCCCTCTCCCCCCAACAGTGGATACAACACCAAAGCACCCCTCTCAGTCTACAGTTTGTCCGAAGGGAACTCCTAATTCTGCCTCCAAAACCAAAGATAAAGTGAACAAGAGAAATGAACGCGGAGAAACCCGGCTGCATCGGGCAGCTATCCGGGGAGATGCCCGACGTGTCAAGGAACTGATCATTGAGGGCGCCGATGTCAATGTAAAAGACTTTGCAGGTAACCTTTCTGGATTAGCTACCAAAAAGCAGATAAAACTAGGCAAATCTTACCAAGCTAAGGGATGCAAATGTGTTATTAGACATCAGATTGATAATTAGAAGAACATAACAGCTTGCTCAAAACAAGCAAGGTAAATTCTTAGATCAAAATCCATATATCTTGTATAGTTATGCCCCATAACATTATTTTTATAACCAAAAAAAGGAGACATATCTCAAAAAAAACCTAAAAGATCACAGAACACTTTGAATTGGAACATTTCTCAATAACGTTTACTCTTCACTTTAAATGTGTTACATATTCAAAGTTGAAACTGTCTAGTAAAACAATAACATTTTATCCTCTGAGCTCGTTTTCTTTAGCTTCTTTCTGGCAGAGTTACCTCCATCTCCCTCCCTATGCCTCACAGACACACGTTCCACGCATCACTCATTGCATTTCAGGAGCTAAATCCGAGTTTCCTTGGGCAGCATTTTCTGTCTGTGCATTTACATGCAGAGCCACTCAGCCATGAGCAACAGCAGTCCTTATTTTTCTGTCTTAAATCCCTTGTCAAAACTACACCTGAGCAGAAGTCGGCAGACTTATTCCTCTGAATGTTTAAGAAAAATAAATGTACATTTTTAGTGCTCTAAATTTCTGTTGCCTTCAGTTCTCCTGGAGAGCAACCAGCTGCATTATGTACATAACTAACCCAAAAGCCGAGAAGGGCTAAATAATAGACAGGTATCCAGTTTCTCCAGATTTGGCCCAATGCAAATTAGCAATTCTTTCCCCAGGCAAGCTGCCCTAATTAATTGATGCATTGTGTGGGAGAGAGATGCTCACAGGAACTTGGGTCTACGTGTCTCATATATGTGATTGATACATGCCTTTACAGGCTGGACCGCTTTGCACGAGGCATGCAACCGAGGTTACTATGATGTTGCAAAACAGCTGCTTGCTGCAGGAGCCGAGGTCAATACCAAGGGTCTGGACGATGACACTCCCCTGCACGATGCGGCCAGCAATGGACACCGCAAGGTTAGCACTCGCTTTCTTGGATGGGCAGCTTCTTCCTCTTTTCCAGGTTGTTCCAGGCCACCAACTGAGAGGGTAGCTTTCCAGCCTGTGCTTCCAACCGCCCCCTCCTTTCATTACTTGCGATAGGCTATTCTCTGCTCCTGCCTCACTGACCCTCCCCTGCCCAACATGCCAGAGGGCCCTTGTTTCTAGGTCCTTGGAGTGCAGCTGCCTTTTTGCTCTTCTGAAGGTCAAGGCAGACCAGCTGGGTCAGGGGACAAAGGGTGTAAGCCTAAAGGAGGCTGGCATGGAATCAGATCAAGTCTCCCATAGCCTGGGATGGGCCGCGCTGAATGACCCTGGCCTCTAAAGACCTTCCTTCACAAAGGAGGAGCTCAGGGCTTAAGTGAGGTATCGAAAGGTGTGTTTCTCTGAGTTGTGACCTATATTCTGCAGATATCAGGTTACATTAATACAAGCTGGTAGGGACAAATTTGTGTAGATGATCAGGCTTGAGGTTAACATAATAATAAAAATAAAAATAATGTTGGAAGGGACCTTGGAGGTCTTTAATTTATGCTGTTTAACCTTCTCTTAGAGAATAGCACCTGACTGAAAATTTTGTTTCATTAGGTGGTGAAATTGTTGTTACATTATGGAGGAAACCCTCAACAACTTAACAGGAGGGGAGAGACTCCATTAAAAGTAGCCAATTCCCCCAACATGGTGAACTTGCTCTTGGAAAAGGCTGTGTATCCTTCCAGTGAAGAGAGTTCCACAGGTAAGAGGTAGCAGGTGGGGTGAACACCCAGTACATCTGTGGGGGATTCAGGGATATAAATAGGTATCAGGAAGGATTGTGGTCTGGTGAAATATAACAAGGCTTGTGTAATTGATCAAAACGTCATTCAGCCCTCACTAACCAGTATTATACTCAGGAATCGTGTCTCTTTGCTGCTGATCCTGGGGTGTGGAAAGAGCTCCCAAACTGCTTAATGCACAGGAGTGCTCAGTTCTTCCCTTTAACAACCTTGGCCCTAGTTCAGTGATGGCTAAGCTCTTTGGGGCTTGTGTGTCATTCAAAACATTGCGGCATGTCAGCTTTGACACACGTGTCACAGGATCACCATCACTGCCCTGGTGAGATTGACATTTATGCTGTTTCTCTGTGGTTGCCACAGCTCATCCTTGAAGAACCAGCCGTCAAAAAGCTCCACAGGAAGAATCTACATCAATGTGGAATCTGTGCTTTGTAGTTCTTCATTCTAAAGTGCATAGAATTGATAAGAAAGGCAGTTGTGTTTCTTTCAGGAGTTGTGATATTGAGCAGCCTATTTAGGGTGGCCTTCCCTAACTTACGGCTTTTAAATGAACTGCAACTACAATTCCCAGAATTCTTAGCCAGCAATTCTAAGAAGGAGGGCAAGACAATGACGAAGGCTGGATCAGGATCAGTTACATTGAAAGTAAAGCTTGGTGTTTTGTTTCTTACCTGTCTTTCTGCTCTGTACAGAAGCAGTACTGGCATTTTATGTATGAAGTTGGAGCAATAATGGAATAAGAGATCTTGAATTAGTATCCTTTCTCTGAGCCAAGACCGTGCCATTCCCGCACTTCTATAGAAGGCACCCTCTCAGCCATTTGCGGCTTCCTTTTGCAAACCACACAGCAACACCAGGATGCAGATAGAGGGAAGGTTTAACAGTGATGGGCTCAGTTGAATAAAACACTCGTCTGTTCTTGAAAAGGGGGGATGCTGAGAAAATTTGGGGACAGTATTGCTAGCACATCTCCACATTCACTTAGAGATGCATACAGTGTGAGAACTGTGTTGCACTGTGGTTTAGAGTAGTGAGCTTTCTGAGAGAAAGAAGCTCTGATCTCCCCAATGAACCTAAAATGCCTCTTCCCAAGTTCTCCTAACTCCGGGAGTGAAGAGTCTGTAACAAAGGCATGATAGCTGTCCCACTTACAAAAGCCTTGCAGCAGTTACTGAGATAAATACGCACTGAATCGTTTTAAAAGGCCTTATAAATATTAAGTGGCAGCGCACCAGCATTGGCAGTTATGGAAGCGAAGCCCCAGGGATGGAGACCTCTCTGTCTGCTGCAGAGGCTGCGCTTGGGGGTTCCTTGAGAGAGGCAGTGGAGGCGAGGGGCAGGGCTGCACTGTGTTCCTAATCATAGATTGGCACTGCAGCTGCTGGAAAGACAGGCCCCCTTTTGAAAGAAATGGATGTTATCCACAGCAACAGCTCTTACTAGATTTGCACCCTTTCTGCCCAGATGCACCAAATGGATGCCAGCCACTGATTTCCTGTGCAGCTTGGCCTTTTACCCCAGAGGACCTCTCAGACCTCCGTATAGGTAGAGCAGCCCCAGCTATGCTTTGCGCATGGAAGATAGATTGTCCACTCAGGTATTGTGAGCAGGCTTCTGTGGAGAATGCTGCTAAGTGAAGGTGTACGTAGGTGCCGTCCTTCACCTGCCTTGGTGCTCTTGCTTTTGCAGAGACTTCAGAAGAAGAAGACGCTCCGTCATTTGCACCCTCCAGCTCCATTGATGGCAACAACACGGACTCGGAGTTTGAGAAAGGCCTGAAACACAAAGGGAAGAACCAGGAGCCCCTCAAAGCCATCACACCCGTGAAGGATGAGTACGAGTTTGATGAGGACGATGAGCAGGACAGAGTCCCCCCTGTTGACGATAAGCATCTGCTGAAGAAGGATTACAGGAAAGAGACTAAAGCAAATAATTTCATTTCCATTCCCAAGATGGAAGTTAAAACCTACACTAAAAACAGCACAATCGCACCAAAGAAAATAGCTCATCGCATCCTTTCCGATACATCTGACGAAGAAGATGGTGCCCTGGCGGTGGGAGGGGGGGAGAAGTTGCGAATGACCACTCACCCCAGCCCGGCAAGCAACAAGGCTCGAGAACCTCCCAGTGCCAAACAACAGAAAGAGAAAAACAAGGTGAAGAAGAAACGCAAGAAGGAGGCCAAAGGCAAAGAAGTTCGGTTTGGCAAAAAAAATGACAAGTTTTGTTCCTCCGAATCTGAAAGTGAAAACCTGGAGAGCGAGGAGGATGACCGAGACTCTGTACAAAGTCCTACCTGTGTAAAGGACTCCAGGCTGGTGCTGAAGGAGTCCTCCCTGTTTAATTCCCTCTCGGCTTCCTCCGCCTCCTCCCATGGCAGTCTGGCCTCCCAAAAGCATAACTCAGCCCTTACAGATCAGCACTCCAAGCATTGGCGGACCGACAATTGGAAAACAGTTTCTTCTCCGGCCTGGTCAGACGTCAGCTCCTTATCCGATTCCACAAGGACCAGGTTGACCAGCGAGTCAGATTACACTTCCGAAGACTCGAGCCTAGAATCCTTGAAACCTGTGAGGAAGAAACAGGAGCCCAAGAAGCGAGCTCAGCATGGGGCGGTGGTGGTGGTGGTGGATAAGAAGAATTCATTCCATGGCAACGTTGATGGAGCTATTCCAAAGCTGGACAAGGAGGGGAAGGTTGTAAAAAAGCATAAAACGAAACATAAACACAAAAACAAGGAGAGAGGTCAGTGTCCTGCCAGCCAAGACATTAAAATAATCAAAGCTTTTTCTTTTGATTATGAGGACTCTAAGCAGAAATCCGAAAAGGCTTTGATGATAGGGACTGAAAGTCCTGTTGAAAATAAGCTCAAAGCACTAAAGCATGAGAGGGAGCACTTCAAGAAAGAGGACAAATTTCTGAAAACTAAATCTGAAGAGAAGGAGTGGTTGATTAAAGAGGAAGCTGGGAAAAATTCTAAAGAGGAGAAATCCTTGAAAAAAGTGAAGGAGGCAAGTAAAGACATCAGCAAACCGTTCAGGGAAGAAAAGACCAGCAGACTGGAGAGGGAGAAGCCCACAAAGGAGAAATCTCCCAAAGAGGAGAAGCCTCGAACGCACAAGGAGGAGAGGAAGAAGAAGTCCAAGGACAAGCAGTTCAAAGCCGAGAGGAAAAACGAACCAAAGGAAGAAAAACCAAGCAGAATTGAGAAGGAAAGGCCAATGAAAGAAGAGAAAGAAAAATGCAAAAAAGACAAAAGTTACAGAGAAGAAGCAACATTTGAAGAATTTAGTAATAAAAACCAATTTTTGGAAAATGAAGATACAAAATTTAGCCTTTCGGATGACCAGCAAGATCGATGGTTTTCAGATTTGTCATCTGATTCCTCTTTTGATTTCAAAGGAGAGGATAGCTGGGATTCACCGGGGACGGACTACAGAGAAATAAAAAATGACAGTGTGGCAAAATTAATAATTGAAACAGTAAAGGAGGAAATAAAAGACAAGAAACGTGAAAGTAAAACAAAAGACAAAAGAGACTACAGTGAAAAGCGTAATGAAAAAGACACATTTCTTAAAAAGAAAGAAAGAGAATACGCTGAGAGGAATTCTGAGAAGAAGAAGGATCAAACTGAGAAGCATAAAAATATTCCCAATTATCTGCCTGAAAAGAAAAGAAAGGATTCTGCTGAAAGTTTTAAAGAGAGAAAAGAAAAGGACAGCAGTGAAATTAGAGAAAGAAGGGAATTGTCTGATAGCTCTAAAGAGAGAAAAGAGGTTAAAATTAAGCAAGAAGACTCCTACAGGGATGAGTTTAAAGACTACGGCTGTGAAGCATTTTTCAAAGAAAAACCTGATCCAGAATTCAGCGGGAAAAATATTGAAACCTGGGAAAGGCATCACTCTGGAAAGGAGAAAAAGGATGCACCAGAGAAGGACAAGAAAGAAAAATCAAAAACAGAGAAGTACAAAGAAAAATCAAAAATGGACGACAAAGAGAGAAATGAGAAGACACCATCTGAAAAAAGCCAAAAGGACAAAGAACTGGACAAAAGTTTTAAAGAGAAAAAGGACCCAAAGGAGAAATACAGAGATGCGCACAGCAAAGAGAAAGAGAGGAAGAGTTCCTTAGATCAGGTGAAAGACAAGAAAGAGAAGATCTGTTCTGGAGATCGGGAGGACTTTCACGAGAAAAAGGATGAGAAAAAGGGGAGGGAGAGGAGCTGGTATAACATCCTTGACATTTTCACTGATGAAAGTGAGGACGAAAAGGACGACTACCCTCTGACTGGGTTCAAACTGGGGGACGGCCTGGCCAGCGAAATGCACCGGCTGGATGGTCTGCAAGACCAAGAGGACAGTGTGGTGGCTGAGAGGGACCTTTATGTCTCTGACAAGCATCGGAAATATTCTTCTGACCGGCAGCCCCATTCTGTGGAGAAACCGAAAGATAAAGAATCCAAAGAGAGGAGAAAGGAGAAAGGGCTGTCGGAGGGAGGGAAGGAGAGAAAAGACAAAAGCTCCCTCGAGAAACACAAGGAGAAGAAAGAGAAAGACCGAAAAGAGCGAATCTCGGTCGACTCTGGCCAGGAAAGGAAGACTAAACAGAAACTCCCTGAAAAGGCAGAAAAGAAACACGTGGGCGATGAAAAGACTAAAAGTAAACACAAGGAAAAGCTGGACAGGGAATACACCAAGGAGAAGCGTTCTTCTAAGAGTGGAGAGGCAGAGAAGAGCTTGTTGGAGAAACTGGAGGAAGAAGCCCTCAACGAATACCGGGACGACTCCAACGACAAGATCAGCGAGATCTCCTCGGATAGCTTCACCGATCGAGCCCAAGATCCCATGCTCGGTGGTCTCTTCGAGACCTCCAGTCTTTCCCTTGCAGACACCTCTGAGGAGAAATACAAGGAGTCATTGCCTCTGCCTTGCCTGGCAGAGAAGCTCAAGGAGAAGGAGAGGCACCGGCACTCTTCCTCTTCATCAAAAAAGAGTCATGAAAAAGAGAAAGCAAAGAAAGAGAAAGCAGAGAAAAAAGATAAAACAGATGAGCTGAAAGACTCTAGTAGCAGGAAGGAGGCCACTCAGTATGAAAAAGATTTTGCCCTGGATGGGGAAGGTTTTGGCATTGCCTACAGCACAAAAGTCGAGGCTGAAGAAGAAGTGGACAAAAACATTGAGTACCTGTTTTCTGAAAAAAAGGACAAGAATGAATCCGAAAGAGAACTTCCTAAGAAAATTGAAAAAGAAAAAACTTGCAGCTCCAACATGTTTGGTACAGCCAAAGAGAAGAAAAAGAGAGACCGGCACAAAGAGAAGTGGAAAGACGAAAGAGAGAAGCACAGAGAAAAACACCCAGATGGACTGTTTAAGCACCATAAGGAGGAGCAGAAGTTTGCCAAAGACAAAGAAGCCTCTCAAGGGATCAGTCTCAAAGACAAATCTAAGGAAGAGCCCTCCAAGCTGAATGATCTCAAAGCAAAGGAAAGACTGAAAGAAAATCAAGAAAAGGAAAAAGCTGACTGTCTTAAGCTGAGCAATGGAAATGATAAAATTGTCTTATCCAAAGAGGGCAGTAAAAAAGACATCCGGCCCCGGGAAAAACTTTTGGGAGATGGGGACCTGATGATGACCAGCTTTGAGAGGATGCTGAGCCAAAAAGATATTGAGATTGAAGAGCGCCACAAAAGGCACAAAGAGAGAATGAAACAGATGGAAAAGATGAGGCATAGATCCGGAGATCCCAAATTAAAAGACAAAGTTAAAGCCAACGAGGAAATGCGCAAGAAGAGTCTGGATTTGACTACCAAGAAACCACTAGCTCTTGACTCCCAGTTAAAAGACAAAAAACTCAAGGACCTCGGCCCAGTGGCTCCCATAGCATCTCCCGAGATCAAGACCCAGCCTGCTGTGGGGGTGGATTCCAAGGACTGGATATCTGGCCCCCAACTAAAGGAGATCTTACCTGCTTCTCCGAGGCCAGATCAGCACAGGCCGACGGGTGTTCCCACACCAGCCTCAGTTGTTTCATGCCCAAGCTATGAAGAGGTGATGCAGACACCACGGACTCCATCTTGCAGCAATGAAGATTACACAGATCTGATGTTTGACTGTGCTGATTCTCAGCATTCTCTCCCCATCTCTACTATGTCCATGAATGCTTGTTCTCCGTCTTTCTTTGACAGATACTCAAATCCTTCAAGTGGATTTTCTGAGAATCCAAGTCAGACCCCAACAAAACTCATCCCCTCCACAAATCTCCATCGGTCGATCTCTGTGGACATTAGAAGGGCACCAGAAGAAGAATTCAGTGTTGGAGATAAATTTTTTAGACAGCAGAGTGTCCCAGCCACAGCTAGTTACGATTCTCCAGTGCAGCATTTGATGGAAGAGAAGCTGCCTCTTCCTTCTGTTCCTACTGAAAAGTTCCCATGTTTATCTCCAGAATATTATTCACCAGACTATGGAGTCCCATCACCCAAAGTAGAGGCGCTGCATTGCACATCAGGAACTGTTAGCAACATTGTCCAGTCCCCCGAAAGTGTATTTTCTGGATTGCAAGCCAAGTCCTCCCCTTCTCACAGAGATGAGCTGCTCGCCCCTTCTGTGGAAAGCGCTCTCCCTCCCGATCTTGAGATGCCTTTGGATGCTACAGAGGACCAACAGGCAACGGCTGCCATCATGCCCCCAGAGACCAGCTTCTTGCCCCCAATTGAGGAGAACGAGTTTGACTCTGGCATACCAGAGCAGAGCAGCGCAGAGTGGGAGCTCACACCAAAGAGACATCCTCCGGTGCCACCCAGTTTAATTGGCAACCCTCCTGAACATCCTGTGAGCTGGTCGGTGGGATCCGAGCTGCTTCTTAAGTCGCCCCAGCATTGCCCCGATTCCCCAAAGCCTTTCTGCTCTTTAGAGACCACGCACCCCACTGCACCGGTACCCTTCATTTCTGCAGAGACACTCTATCCCAGCTCCCCTACCTCGTACCTCCTTCCGGTGATTGAGCCAAGGCTCGAGAAAGCAAAAGAAGATGTGGAAGAAACAATTCCACCCGAAATAGTGTCCGCAGAGCCACAAGGTCCCTGTGTGGATCCCCCGGCCAGGTTGGACGCCTTTTTCAGTAGCTGCAAGACTGTCCCAGAAGAAGCATCGGATGGGGCTTTGCCGCCAGCAGAGGCCCAAGCGGAAGGGGCGGATACTGTTGAAAAGAATTGTTTAGACAGTAGCAGCATCACTCCTGTAAACCCAGAGGAACAAATTGCGTGGCCGGATCCATTCACAAATTCAGAAGATGACTTGGACCTGGGCCTGTTCTCTCTGCCAGAGTTGCCGCTCCAAGCGAAAGAAGTTCCAGAGGTGGAAATGGTGGAGGCAGGCGAAGAAAGCCCCCCTGTGCCTTCTGAAGCCCTCACCGCGGCTCTTCTGGACGTTGAGGTTTCTTTGGGGTCTGCAAAGGACCAGGAGGATCTGAGTCTGAATCCACAAAGTGTCCTGCCTGGGGAGTCTGATGTGCAAAGGGATGAGAAGAAGCCAGAGGAGGCTTCTGCCAAAGCAGGGCTGGATATTTGCAGCCCCCCAGAGCAGAAGTCTGGAGCAGAACCAGAGGCCTCCCAGAGTGTTCAGGATGCAGCATCAGCAGATCTCGTGCAGTTGGAGCCTAAGGAGGTGGAGGCCAGCGGGGAGGAACTCTCCTCAGTTGTTCTGGCGTCCAGCGATGCTTCTCAAGGCTGTTTCAGCCAAGCAGACAGGACTGAGAGCACGGAAGCTCAAGAGGCCTCCAGGGGCACCAGCCAGGTTGCTTCTTCTCAGGCAGAGGTGCCCCAAGTGAATGTCCAGTTGGAAGCTGCAGAATCAGTCCCCAAACCGATTCTCGAAACCCCAAAGGCTCCCAAAATAGAAGAGATCCCACAGCGGATCACCAGAAACCGAGCCCAAATGCTGGCCAATCAAAACAAGCAGAACGCTGCTGCTGCTGCTGCTGCTGCTGCTGCTGCTGCTGCTGCTGCTGCTTCCGAGAAGGAGTTTCCGCCTGCTTCGGCTCCTTCCACGAGGGCGAAGGGGCGTGTGGCCGAAGAGGAAGACGCCCAGGCGCAGCACCCCCGGAAGCGGCGGTTCCAGCGTTCCAGCCAGCAGATCCAGCAGCAGATCAACACCACCACCCAGCAGACCCGGGAGATGATCCAGCAGACTTTGGCCGCCATTGTCGACACTATCAAGCTGGATGACATTGAGCCGTACCACAGTGACCGGTCCAACCCTTACTTTGAGTACCTGCAGATCCGGAAGAAGATTGAGGAGAAGCGGAAAATCCTTTGCTACATCACGCCGCAAGCGCCCCAGTGCTACGCTGAGTACGTCACCTACACCGGCTCCTATTTGCTGGATGGAAAGCCTTTGAGCAAGCTGCACATTCCCGTGGTGAGTAGCTCTCTGCCGGTTTTCCTTTCCTGCCTTTCTAAGCTTTGCCAGGGTGGCAGCAGCAGCTGTCACTTTTCCTGCTGGCCAGGGGCACCTCAGTGCACCTCCCAGACTGAGGGCAGCCTTGTGGAAGCATTTCCAGCCAGGTGCTCTGGCGAGCAAGGCGCCCGTTTTCTTGTGCCTCCGTTATTATTTTGTCCTGATCGCATCAAGGCCTCGCTGGCCTGAGTCCAGTGAGGAGACGGGCTGCTTGCAACTGTCTGAAAGTCTCCAGAGGGACAGGGAGATACTGAACTAGCTAGCAATGGTGACTTTGAAGAACTGTACCTGGAAATTAAATTACGGTAAACTGAGAATAGAAATTCTAAACCCACATTGGACAAATTGCCAGAAATAATAGCAAGCCCAGCTGTCGTCAGATGGAGCTTGTTGTGGCTTTGTGTCAGTGTGACAGCGGGAAAGCCATTTATACAAACAGCCCTCTGTGAAGAGTTGAGCAGCGTCTTCAGTTGGCTTCCATTATTCTCGGCATGTCCTACATCATGAGAACCTGCCAGGTCGGGAGGCACTAAATTTGAATCTTTTTTACCTTGGCCTTTACCGATGTTGCAAGCGAGAGAGAAGGCCAGGAGGAGGTTCGGAGTAGAACTGACAAGAACATTTGCAATCGGGAAAGGCAGCTCTTCCACCCGTTTCCTGTCCCTTCAGCATGGGGCCCAGGGACTCCTGCTGAACAGCCTCCAAAGGTGTAGGAAGGCCTCCCTGGCCCCCTTCGTGGACCTTGAAATGGGGAAAGTCACTCCTACTTTTGGGTGGTGGCTGAATGGAAATGGCTGCTCCGTTGGCCTGGCTTTTTCACCTACAGCAGGGATGTGCAGGACGAGGGAGTGAGCAGTGGCCTTGGGGGCAGGCTGGGGAAGGAAAGGTTGGGCAGTTCAAAAAGGTCCCAGTTTGGGGGGGAGGGCTGCTCGAAGATGTTGCTGGGAAGGCAGGGTTCAGAGGTGAGGCATGTGAATTAGGAGCAGCCTGTTGGGGAATTGTCTCCGAGGTAAGGAGACAACCCCAGTGGTTGCGCTGCGCCCTGCAGCATAAGTAGGCAGGCGTTGGGCTTGCCTGGGAGGGAGGCTGAGCGAGCAGCGTCTCCCTCCCTCCCTGGGCTCTGCTTTGTGCAGAGGCAGCCTCTGGCTGGGTCTGCCCGCTGGACCAGGTGAAGGAACGCTGGCCAGACCCCCACCCGGCAACCCTTCCTGTCTCTCTGCCTTTCAGATCGCCCCTCCCCCGTCCTTGGCTGAGCCCCTGAAGGAGCTGTTCAAGCAGCAGGAAGCTGTCCGGGGCAAGCTGCGACTCCAGCACAGCATCGAGCGGGTAACTGCGACCGACCGCTTGGGATTCGTGGCTGGCCTGGTGGGGTCGGGGTCTCTCTCTCTCTCTCTCTCTCTCCCTCTGTGGCCCCTGGTAATGCTGTCCTCCTTTCCCCAGGAGAAGCTGATCGTGTCGTGTGAACAGGAGATTTTGAGAGTTCATTGCCGGGCAGCCAGGACGATAGCGAATCAAGCCGTGCCCTTCAGCGCCTGCACGATGCTTTTGGACTCAGAAGTGTACAACATGCCTCTCGAAAACCAGGTTGGGCTCCATCCACCAGGGTGCTTTTCCTTGGGGGAGACTGGAAGGTGATGAGGCCAGAGGCGGATAAGATGCTTTTGCCACTGCAGCGATTCTTACTTTTCCCCTTATGCGCTGGGCGTGTGCCAGCCCACTCTGCGCTCTTTTTACGGCTTTGGGAGGAATGATGAGGCTTCCCAAGGGCCGCTTAAGGGTGAGAGGAGAAAGCAGCTGCTGCAACATCCCCTTCACTGGGACCACCAAATTCCCCTTTGGTCCTTCTTCACAGCATCTTGGCTGATTACCTTGCTTCGGAAGGAAATCCACCTCAGACTGTATCCAAACGGTGCAGAGCCAGGCTCTACCTCAGACTGCAGGTCTCCCTGCCCCCCCCCGCCCCCCATCCCGCAGCTCCGTGCCAGGAAAGGTTGGGGATTTAGGGATGAGTCAGACGGAGGGAGCCTGGCCCAGGCCTGCTTTGCTGCTGCGGCTGCACAGAACAAGGAGAGCAGCACCTCCTGCTGGCCAGTCGCTTTGAAGCAGCTCTTCCTGCTGGCTGTAAAGTTGTCATTTCAGTGGGCAGCTGAGTGGTGCATTGCAGGCATCAGTCTCTAAGCACAAAGCTGGGTAGGGGGAACTAATTAGTTATCCTTAATATTCATCCTGGGCCTGGTTCAGCACATACCCAAAGAATTTGTGTTATTTACTACCACAGAGAAAATGCTGAAGTCCGGGCTCACTCAGGAAGGTTGCAGGGAGGGCCCTTGGAGCAGGATGCTCATAGCCCAGAGTCCCCTTACTTGCCTATTTGAGACTCTTCGGTAGGAAAGTGTGTGTGTGTGAGAGAGAGAGAGAGTGAGAACTAATTTTTAAGTCTTTCTTTCTGCCGCTTACCTTCATCCTTTGTCTCTCAGGGAGATGAAAACAAATCTGTCAGAGATCGTTTCAATGCTCGCCAGTTTATCTCATGGTTGCAGGATGTGGATGACAAATATGACCGAATGAAGGTGAGCAGGGAAGCCAGTAGGTGTCAGTGGTGACTCGGCTGTGTCTTAAGCCCGCTCTGTGGTGGGAGAGAACGGCTCGTGGTGCACCTGCTGCATTCCTCAGGTCTGCTCCTGAACTGATGATGAGACTCTTAATTGCTTCCCCCACCCTCCTCTTCCTTCTCCTCCTCTTCAAAATATTTCCATCATTCAGCTGTGTGCCTGATTCTCAGAAGAGATTCCTCTGGCCCAGCCGTTTCTGTGATGTGATGTTTTAAAATTAACATTCTGTGAAAATCGGAACCAGCTTTTCTAGCTCTCAGGAAAGATTCATCTCCGTTAGCCAATCTGTAGCCCTGGCAGGGAGGCGCTTTTCTGCCCGTGGCTCCGAGCAGGCAGTCCCCTGGCCAACAGCACATGCACTGACTTGATATTGTTCCATTCCACAAGTTGCTTTTCTTAAAATATGCAGAGGGAAAACTAGGTGGTAAATGACGGGGAACATTCACATTTCTGATGATTAAAAAAAATGCAAATATCTCCATTTCTTAGGAACGCATGTTGATCTCAGCCCAGGATTGCCTAATCCCCTTGTGTATCTAGAGCTTTGTAAGAGACCTTTATCAACAATGCAGCATTCATCCATTCGTTGGGGGGAAAAAACTTACATGGCCACCTATGATAATCCTAGGTGGATCAAGCAGCCTTTGATAAAGCTCTATAAATATAAACACACAGAACCCCACAAAAGCCATCACGTGACCCAGAATGCTGCAGCCATCCTAAATACATGCCAGTTGCCAAGCACCCAAATCCTGATCACGTGACTGGGGATACTGCAACAGTTGTAAATTTGAGGGCAGGTGGTGAGTCACTTTTTCTCAGCACTGTCGTAATTTCTAATGATGGCTAAATGAATGGTGATAAGTCAAGGACTACCTGTATGTTTACAGCCATCTGCTTTTCTCTAAAAATAAAAGTTGAAGAAGCTCATTTGCGTGACAAACAATAGCAAATACTCCAAAAGCTAACAAAAATTAAAAGCAGTGTTGATGGCCCAAGAAGTCCTTTAAATGTCACAGCGCAACCTTCTCTTGAACGGCCCTCCCAGCAGGAAATCCTTCTAATCTCTAGGCTAAACATTTTGAGCTGTTGGTTTAGGCATCCACTGAAAAAACAGGCAACGTTTTTTGTTCCTGGCCTCCATGACATGTGACTCCGAATTAATCTTTCCCAAGCGAGCCAGCCCCATCCCAATCAAGACTGAGCTTCTCCATGAGATGTCTGAAAAACAAAGTAGAAGCTGGAGGAGGGTGTCCCATTGGGGCTTTCCCCATAACTGCCTGTTGACTCCCCTTTGGGGGGAGGACCCTGAAGGTACAAAGGGGGGAGTTTCTAGGCATCCGGGGCCTTCATGCACTCAGTGCGCTCTCCTCTTTTCTGATCCAGACGTGCCTGCTGATGCGCCAGCAACACGAAGCCGCAGCCTTGAACGCAGTGCAGCGCATGGAGTGGCAGCTGAAAGTGCAGGAGCTGGACCCTGCCGGGCACAAGTCGCTCTGCGTGAACGAGGTGCCCTCCTTCTACGTGCCCATGGTGGACGTGAACGATGACTTTGTGCTCTTGCCAGCATGACAGGACCGTGCCTGCGGACATTTTCACTGCAAACTGGCATGGGTGGGTGCCCACCCCCTAACTCACCCACCCAACTCCCCTCTCCAGGATGGGTGTAGGTGTTCACACACATGCGCACACAGACACACACACAGACACAACCGCTTGCTGATGAATCCCTAGTCAGACGAGGAGGAAGCAGAACATCTGTGACAAAACCATAAGTGGCACTTTCTTCACGGAGCCCCAGGCGCCCCGACTGTAGGAGCAGAGGAAGGGGAGGCGCAGCTCCTTCCCCACCACTCTCTCTGGCAGGAGCAGCCTGCAGACGGCAGGTTCAGGACTGGTGGAAGGAAGAGAGACTCAGTGGGGGCCGGAAGACTGCCAGGGCACCCTTTCCAATGGGGGAGCTGCAGCTGCCGCCAAGATTTGAGGTCGCCGCAGCTTTCGGCGCACTCACAGTTTCTGCCATTTGGAGCGCTTTGATTCTTCCATTAGCCTGTGGGTGGATCATCCCTCCGAGACCCTGCAGGGCTAGACTGGGGGGGGGCTGTGGGGAGGTGGGGATAGAAGAGACAGGCAGTCCCTTTGGTTCTTGTTGCAGCCGGGCATCAGGAAGACACCAAGCTGCACTCTGGAGGTGGTGCAGGGAGTCGCCCCCCTGGACCAGCAGCATGGGGCACCTTTCAAGCGAGCCAGCCTGGGGTGGGAGACACCTCACCATGGAAATCAGAGACGTAAGTGGCGCAGAGCGAGGACTGTGCAATTCTGTTTTGAAGTGGAGTAAAATCCATGTGGTTTATATATATATATATATATAAATATATATATATAAATATATATTTTCCTTTAATCTTGGGCATTTTGTTTCTCTTTCTGAGACCATAACTTGAAAAAAGAAAAAGATAAAACACTACAAGAGCCAATACTCATATAAAAAGAAATTGTATCCCTTAAAAGCTGTACAGTTTTATATACATTAACAATGTACTTTTTGCTGCCTTCTAGATAATTTATTTTGCAACACATTACTGCACAGTTGTAAATAACTTATGTACTGTAACATCACTTTCAGTCATGTGTAAAGAAATAAATTAATTAATTAAAATTATCTTTGTATGTATAGTTCCCCCAAGGCAGCATCCCTCCCTTCTCCTCTCTGACCCAGGGGCCTGCCGGCTCCTTCTGCCCCGTGCAGCAGGCAGGCAGGCTGGCTGGCCCTCCCTCCCTCCCTCCCTGAGCTGTGCCCTGGGCTTCTCTGGGCAAGGCTTGATATCTCACCACAGACTGATCTCGAAAGAGCCTCGTGCTCCCCTTTGGAGCCTGAGGAACTGGTGGCTGCTCTTGGCACGTGTGGGCAGAAACTGACCTTTCGTGGGGCAGGACCTCAGGGCAGGCGGGTGCAAGAGAGGCCAGGATGGTCAAGCCGCTTGCAGTAGGGAAGGTGTCTGCAAGACCAGCCAGGAGAGCCTTGGGGTTTCTGGCTCAACTTGGCCCCGGTTCCAAATTGTGGATTGTCGAGTAGAATTTTGTAACCAGGAAGTTCAGGGCAGTGCATGCTTGGCTCAGCCCTCCTCTGAAGAGTTCTCTGCTTGTGGATGGAGGGAGCAAGGCTTGCTTTTGAGTGTCCCTGGGACAGGTAAGGAGGTGGCTGGGTGACAAGGGAGCCTCCTGTTTCCCAAAGCTTTTGCCAAGAGTATTTTTCTGGTTGTGGTCCAGGCAGGCTCAGTTCTGTGATTGCTTTCTCACGTAACGCTTATCAAAATCTTTCGGGACTGGCTGCTTCCAGATCTGGACTGTGCATTGACAGCCCTGAGTCTTGGGGAATTGCTGGCTAGCAAAGACTGGAGGACTCCCACCCACCCCCAACGCGGAAGTTAATTTATGAAGGCAAACGTGGACCTGTCACTCTGATGCTTAAGGGAGGTTTATTCGTGAACCTCCCTTGTTTTAGCAACATGCGTACGGATTCAGAATGAGTGGCTGGCACAGTTGCATTCTTGTGCTAGCAAAGGGGGTCTTCCCTGGTCCAACATTTGGAATATGGACAGTTGTCGTGAGAAAATTGAGGAGCAGAGACTGAGAGAGAGTGGTAAGGCAAGGGCTGGGGCTCCTGCCCACCCCCCAGAAGCTGGCTGAAGGGAGTCCTGGGCCTAGCTCCTCTTCCTGAGAGGCGGCTGCTTTGACAGGCCAGGCTGTGTGGAGACTCGTGTGGAGGCGTCCTTTCCCCCTCCCTCCCCAAGCTTTCAGCCAGCAAAGCCCTTCTCCGATGCAGGCTGCAAAAGACTTGCACGTCAGTTGGCAATTTGCCACGAGAGCCAGGACACGCGGGTAATTGCTGGAAAGGGCACAAGGTGCGCCGTTTCCCCAGGGCCTGCTCAGCTGGCCTCCCCTCAAGGCTGAGCTGCCAGGAGGGTGGGTCTTTCCAGCCTGTTCCGGCCCACCTGCTGCACGAGTGCATCTCTCGTGTCTGGCCTGGATTGCTGGCTGACAGGTTCGTGCCTATGAAACTCCACCAAGTGCATGTGGGGGAGGGGGGAGGACACCTAAGAAGCCTTTGGTTCTTAGCATCCGGTGCCGGGAAAAGTTTCTTTTGGAACGCAGAGGAAACAGAGGGAAGCCTCCCCTGCCTAAAATGTAGTGCTTCTTCATCAGTGGGCGACAGCAGAGCCTTCATGGATTGGGCTTTGGGTTTCAGAGGGGGGGGGCGGTTTCCACCACCTCTGCACATGGACGGAGCCAAATTCTGCTTGAAAATGTGGTTCTCCCACTTTGTTCAACCAGAGAAGTGTGAACGCTCCCCACCAGCAAAGTATTGTTGAGTGGGGTCGGCAGCACTTGAAGGTGCTTGTCTTGGCCACCTCCAGCATCTGCTGGTGGCTGATGAGCTCCCTGTGCGGCTTCTGCAGGAACCGGCCTTTGTGGAAGGATCCCTCCGGAAGCCTTTTCCCATCATGCTGCACGGGACATTTGCAAAGCTTTCATCAATTATGGGGAAACTTGTGGTTTAGCTACTTCCCGCTACTCAGCACCTATCCTCGTGTTCCACCTCTGAAGCTACAGGGATCCGGTTGTCTCTCTCTTTTCTTCTTGATACCGATGGGAATCCCCTCTCCACCCACCCCCAGATCCATCCTTTAAAGCCTGAATCATAGCAGGAGCATAATAGCCCTGTGTGATACCGTGCAGTCTGTTGATTTGGACACCAGTGTAAATAGCCCTTCTTGTTAAATCGCTTCTACCAGACAATTGTATATATACATGTAAATAACTCTCACAGGTCAATCCACACATCCTTTTATTTGTACTCGTGCAACTTGCATAGAATGTGGAGTTAAACAGCAGCAGGGTGCATTGTTTGTAATGTAATCATGTATTTTTTTATTTTTTATTTTTTACCAATGTAGTTGGTGTACATATAGTTTGTCAGTGCTGGTGCTGCCGAGGGCACCATAAAACTGCCCTTTAGCTGTACAACTTCCTGCAGAAAGAGGTGAAGTAAATACAGGTGTTATTTTCTACAGTTGCATGTACAGAGAGAAGTGCAGAGATGCTGTTGTCCTTCAAGAGATAATGTTCATAAATAAATTTTTTTTTAAAAAAAGAACAAGTGTGCTATGGGGTTTTTGATTCTCCGCTGCTTCTCAAGGCCTTTCCGAAGGGGCTCTCCTCCTCCGTCTCGTTTCACCCTGTGGGCCTTGGACATTCCCGAGCAGACTTTTCCTGCAGCAGCCTTTCGACAGAGAGGAGGCTGAAAGAGCAAAGACAGACATACCTCCAAGGTTTAATGCATCTTCCACCGTAGGCCAGCTCCAGATCTTGCGAAGCGAGGCGGATGTTGGCTATTATCAGACTGAAGAGAAATAGAAAGTTACGCGTTGGTGTGTGCCCTACATGGCAGGAAATTGGATAGTATGTCTGGCAGTTCTTTTTCCAATTAACACAGCTGGTTCAAGGCAACCCTCAGTGTATCCAACAAAGTGAACCAAAGCCCATGGAAGCTGCTGCCTCTGCACCTTCTCCAACTAACACTCAAGTCAGATGGTTCCTGATACTTTCCTTCCAGACACGAATCTGGCTTTCTTCCTAACACTTCGCAGCAAAAGCTCATCTTGGCTCTGAAACTGGGGCAACCAGGGCTTTCTGCAGGCTCTCAAAATTTGATAAAATCTTCACACAAAATACCCTTTCACATTTTTTCCTCCTTTCCAGCCCCAAATTATTTTTCCAGATCAACCCTGGAGTCTCCCAACTTCTTTTGGTCACTTCTATTATCAGAGGCATCGAAGGAGGAGCCAAGGTTGAGATCCAACCTGCCTAAATCACTGGATTTCTGTCCTTTCCCCCAAATTGTTCAGCCCAGCGCGCCTGAAAGCCTACATGTGTTTCCAATAGTAGCTTGGTGTGTCCGTGTCCCCTATATTTTTAAATACCGAGAGAGGTGCACATTGCAGCTCATCTCCTTTTTCTAAACTTCTAATCCGGAAGGCTGAGAGGTCACACACCACCGTGGGGGGAAGCTGCTGTCCCGACCGGCAGAGTTGCATTACCAAGATTGTGATCTGGGGGTCACGCAATCCACTTTTCAGAGGGTCCGTGAAAGACCACGTAGACATTTGTGCAGCCTGTTAGCCTGGCTGCTTCGAAACCGTGACTTCCTTCGTTGCTTGGCGAGTTGCGCTGACACACTGCTGCTCTCCCTGGATAAACTGTTGCACGCAGAAGCCGTGAAGTGTGCAGATGTATTTTTTAGAAAATTAGAGAACAGGGAAATGAAATAAAAGGTTGGCATGATGTCACATGATTGTTTTCCAAAGGAGCAGTCCAACAAAACTGTCCCCTCCCCCACGCCAGTATTTTTGCACAACTTGCTCAAACGAAACCGGGGAAAGGAAAGCGGCCACTTGTCGCAAGAGGCGAAGACAAACAGAGCAGCCTTGGGGAGAGGTGGAGAACAGCCTGGGGGGGGGGGGAGTCGGGCAGGGAAGTTGCTCAACTGGACCGAGCAGGTTTTGCTCCGCTCGCCAGCTGCTCCCTGCCCGGGAAAGGCCCGGCCCCTCGGCAGCCCATCCCGGCACAAGCAGGCGGCCTACCCACCCACCCCCAGCGGCTAGCCGGGCAAATCGAAGGAGCAGCTCCCCGCTTCGGACCTGCAGCCTCCCCTCGCCTCCCGTCCACGGCGGGGCCCATCTGGAGCGGCCGGCCGTGCGTGGCTGCGCCCAGAGGGGCGATCGACCCGGCCTCCCGCACCTCAGGGTTCAAGCCTCTGAGCAAGCGCAGAGCGCCCTCGCCACACCGCTGCCTTCGCGGGGCTCCCCTTGGCCCCGGCCTTGGCTCGCTCGGCTCCGGGGAAAGGCGCGGTCGGGCAGCCTCTTCCCCGACGGCCCGCCCCGTCGCGCCCCGCCCGCCCCCCGGCCCGCAGAAAGGCCGCGCGCCGCCGGTCGGCCGTCTCTGGTGCCGGGAGCGCATGGACTTCGAGGGGGGGCAGCTGCGCCAGGTGGGCGGCTTCGGGCGGCGGTCGCGCTTCCTGGCGGCCGCCTCGGGGCTGCCCAACGCGGGGCTGGCGCTGGGGCTGGCCGCGGGGCTGCTCCTGGCCGCCGTCCCGCCGCACCGCTGCCGCCCGGACCCCGCGCTGCTCCCCGCCGCCCTGCGCAACGCCAGCAGCCCGGAGCTGCGCAACGCCTCGGCGCCGCCGGGCAGCCGCTGCCTACTCTACCGCTATCCGCGGCCCGGAGGCGGCTCCGGCCCGCCCAACGGCACCGGACCCTGCACCCGCGGCTGGCAGTACGTGCTGCCCGCGGCCGGGCTCCGCTCCACGCTGGTCACACAGGTGGGTCTGCCGCGCGGAGGACCCGCCGCCCTGTGGCTCCCTTCGCCGGGCCGGGCCGACGGGGCGAACCCCCGGCAGCTCCAGGCAGGCGGACCCTCGGCCGGCCTGGCTCGTCTCCGGCGGTGATCTGCGGGAGAGCGGGGGGGGGAGGAGCCCCGGCTGGGCTGCTGCCTCCCTGCTGACGGCCGCTTCCCCCGCAGTGGGACCTGGTGTGCGCCAAGCAGTGGCAGGTGCCGCTGGAACAGACCACCCACCTCCTGGGATGGCTGATGGGCTACGCGGCCCTCGGGGCGTCCTGCGACAGGTAAGGCGGCTCCACTTCTCCAGGTGGCCTCTGGGCCGTTTGATCTTCTGGTCGGCCCCACTATGAGGACTGGCCGCTTGGCCATCTGCCATCACTGGGAAAGCAAAGGCTACAGTGCAGGCGTTGGCTTCTGTGGGTCTCCATGTGGCAGAGGCGGCTGCTGGCACCTATCTGGGAGGGGCTACTTTCCAAGAAGAACCTCTTGTTTTCATCCCCACTTAATAAGATGATTCACAGGGCCCCTGTAGCTCAGCAATACCGCCCGAGTCCCGTGTTTGCTTAAAAGCAAATTATTTCCGCCTGTTTTAGCCAACATTCTTGAGGTGAGGGACACTTGGCGGAAGGGGAAGCTCGCTCATTCTACTGAAATTCTAGCCTGTAGTTGTGACCCTGGACCTCTGATGGCCGCTATGAGTCCGGAGGGGGCCACCTACAGGCCTGAATGCAGACAAACCCCTGCAGCAAGTCTTGCAAGGTGCCTTCAGGAGCTGCAGAGCGGCTGGTCTTCACAAAGAGCTGCCAATTGGATAAGAAGAACTTCTTTGGGATGACTTTGGCCGAGCTGTCCTCCTGCAGCCTGGCTCTAAAATGGACTTTGTGAAACCTGGCATTTGGGGGCACCCTCGGGCTCCCTGGGCTCTGGCCGTTCTGACGAGTGGGAGTTTGACAGCCATCAGGCTGGCCTCCAGCAACCACTGGGCAGTAATTTGCGTTGCTGTTTCAAACAAAGGCCAAGCAAGTTGCAGCCCTGAATTTTGCTCCCTTGTGATCTGGGATGGGAGCTCTTTCAGTGCAGTCAGGTGGGGGCCTCTTCTCCCCCCCCCAATTCTGTGCTCCCTCTCTCCTCCAGATTTGGCCGTCGGACCATCTTCGTTCTTTCCTTGGTGCTGTCCGTCCCGCTGGGCTTCGGCGTGGCGCTGGCAGTGGATTACCTTATGCTGGTTGTGCTGCGGATGCTCTTTGGGGCCGTGCTGGCGGGGGGCTTCCTCTCCCTCTACGTGGCACGTGAGTCATTTCTTGCCCGCTGGCTGTACTGCCCTCCAGGACAGGCCCCACCAGGTCCTCCTTGCTTTAGCCCATCTGCCCAGGCCAAAAGCACCTTTGCCCCCAATGGACTCTCCGGCCTTGGAACAAGGGGGCTTCAGCCAATGCCTCCACGAGAAGGACAAACCTTGGTTTGGGGCTTCCCTGGTGAGGAGCTGCTGCCCTGAAATGCAACTTCCTGGTGATCTGAGTGGCTTCCGTGGGGGTTGGTGGAGGCCCCGCTTCTCCTGGGCACGTTTGGGAAGCAGGTGGCCCTCCGATGTTGCTGGGCTACTTCATGGCCTCCCTCCCTGTTGGTTGCTGAAGCCGGAAGCTCAGATGCCCCCAGTGAGACTCGATGCATTTCATCTCGGCCAAAGTAGCCCCACCAACTGGGCTCTTCTCCGCCTTTCCCACTCATGCGCTCCCTCTGCTTCTCCTTAGGCCTGGAGTTGTGTGATCCCCCCCACCGCCTGACGGTCACGATGAGCGCCAGCTTCTTCTGGGTTGCTGGGCAGCTGATCCTGCCAGGCCTGGCCGTGGCCGTTGCAGAGTGGCGGCTGCTCCAGGGGGCCATCACATTGGGGCTGGCTCTGCTGACTGCTTGCTGGTGGTGAGTGGTGTCTAGCTCTGGATGCTGAGAGGGTCTGTCTCCCCCATTGTCCCCCCTATGGGGCATTCACTCCTTCCTTCCTTGCTGCCTCCCCTCCTTTAGTGGATGCGCATAGAGGACTCACTTCTCTGACAAAGATAGGAGCCCCAAACGCCGGACCCTCCAGTCCCGATTTCTCCCTCCCCAGGTCTCCCTCTCTTTTTCCCGAGTCGGCCCGGTGGCTCTTGGCCACACAGCAGCTGCAGAGAGGCAAGCGGGCCCTGCTGGACCTGGCCAGGGGCAACGGAGTCTGGCTGGAAAATGACTCCACCACAGGGGAGCCCTTCTCGGCAGGTGGGTCTGCCACTAGGCCTTGCAGGCACCTTCCGATGCTGCTGGTTGCAGCTGGGTGGGGGCTACCTGGATCCACAGAGTGGGAGCCCCTGAGTGGAGTCCATCAGAGGTGGGGGGTGGGGAAGCTCCCCTCGCTCACCAGAGGCCCTCTTGATTCTGCCTGGGGCCTCAGCTGACTGGCCAGCCAGGCTGCCTCCCCATTGGGCCTGGGATCCAGTTCTGCTTTTGTGCCCAGAGACGGACAGCCGGGCAGGAGGCGTCCGTAGAGCAGAATACCACAGCGTCTGCCGGATCTTCAGCACACGAGTGGTATGGAAGAACAGCCTCATTCTCGGCTTCACTGCGTAAGTGCTCCTGGGCGGGGGCAAGCGAGGGTCTGGGCAGAGCATCCTCCTCTTCCTCCCCCCTCTTCCTCACAAGCTGCACCAGGGACCCCCGTGTGACACCTCCCTCCCGTTGGCTGTCAGACATCCTGTGGACTTAGCTTCCTTCCCCACCAGGTTCATTGGGAGCGGCATCCGCCACTGTTTCGCCCGCAACTTGGCTCCGTACGCGCCCCACTTTTACTTCCCCTATTTTCTGCTGGCGGGGAGCGAAGCGGTGGCCATCCTCTTCCTCTGCCTGACTGTGGATCACTTTGGCCGCCGGGCACTCCTCCTCTTCGGCACCATCCTCACTGGGGTTTCCTCCCTGCTGCTCCTGGCCCTGATGCAGTGTAAGGAGACCCAGCTGCTGGGGGGCAAGTAGGAGAGGAACCGATCCTGCTCAAGGGTCCTGAGTCTTGCGTTGCTGGGCCCCTGCGAGGGGCTTCCCTCTTCCCAGATCTGGACTTGTCCAGATTGAGTCACTTGGCTGGCTTGCTTGAGTCGCCCACTGAGGTTTGTGTTGCTGGAGATTTGCCTGCTAAGGGGAGGCTCAGCAGGAGGATGTTCAGCCAGCCTCTCAACCGGCCCCCTTCGCTCCCCTAGATTTGATGGCCTGGCTTGTCTTGGCGCTCTCCATCCTGGGCATTCTGGCATCTCAAGCTGTTGCTACCCTCAGCATCTTCTTTGCCAGCGAGGTGCTGCCCACCGTGGTCAGGTGAGGAGGCATCAGGTGTCCCCGTGTTGGCAGACGGGCAGGGCTGGAGCCTGGCATTCAGCTTCGAGTGAGGTCAGAGCCTTGCCCAAAGGCCACCCTGGGCCAACTCCCAGCTGGCTTTCCCAATGAGCCCAGCAGGCGGGGCAGCATCTATGGGCTGACAAGGCTCTGCTCCTGGGCGGGACCCCTTGCGCTTGTGCCAGGAACGGACAAGGCTGGGATCGGCCCCAAGCTGCCTTCGCTCAGGTGGTTTGTGCCGGTTCAGGGATCCAGGTGGAAAGCCAGGGGCTCTGCCCAGGGGCCAGGAGGGACTGGTTGCTGGCAGGGTGGCAGAGCTGGGGCTGAGGAGGAAATGGCCCCCAGGGACAGGGGCCTTGCTGCTCCCCAATGGGGCTGTTTTGCTTTGCAGAGGGGCTGGGCTGGGCCTCATCCTGGCTGCACACACACTGGGCCAGGCGGTCACCCCGATCATGGACATCCAGCACAGCCGGGGGTTCTTCTTGCACCACGTGGTGTTTGCCTCCTTCGCCATCCTCTCGGTGCTCAGTGTGATGCTCCTCCCGGAGACCAGCCACAGGCCGCTGCCAGACTCCATGCAGGAGGGGGAGAGCCTGCACCGGCCGCCGCTCTTCCACCCCACCTGCCGTCACTGCCGCCACCAGGACCAGCTGCCACTGCTCTCCACCCACGGGGGGAGCAGCCCCTACGACCCCGAGAGCTATGCCCACCTGGTCACGGCCACCAAGAAGATGCTGGGCAGCCATGGGGGGGGCGCTGGTGCTGGGGGGCAAGGCAGCTCACTGACCCCAGGGACCTAAGGGCATGGCAGCACCCAGAGGAGAGGGCCCCCGGGCCCCACAGAGGGAACATTTTCAGCCCCAGGGTCCTCCGGGGACAGGAGGAACTGGGCAGCCTCTGGCCCTCTTTTCTTGGGGAAAGAGTGGTTTGGGATCACAGGGCCCCCCTTTGTGGATATGCAATAAACCACATGCTGCCTTTGTAGTTCATTTTTCCTAGAGAGTTTTATTGTCAGCTCCCCCCTCGCCAAATCCTGCCCTCTCCCACCCCCCAGACCTCCAAGCTCTCATTCTCCTGGCTGCAGCCACATGAGGAGCTCTGCAGCATTGGACTGGGGTGGGGGAACACAGCCGGGTTTACCCACAGCCCACCGGAAGCCACTTTTCAGGGCAGGCCTGATCAGTTCTATGGGGGGGGGCTGTTGCTCTAGATAGCGCCCTGGGAGTGGGGCATCACCATTTGCCTCCTGCAAGGTTGCCAGTTCTTGCTTCTCCCCACTGGCTCTTTGGATCCCAGGCAGGCTGAGGTTTTCTCACCCAGCTGCCCTCTTTCTTTAGGCCTAGTGACCCTCATGGTCCCTGGATGAGACTGTTGGGGTCCCAGGGGAAACAAGGGGTTGCACAGGTGGTCCCAGGTCCCTGGAACTCCTTCAGCAGCCGCCGGCAGAACTGGGAAGTGCCAGCAGAATCTCAGCTGGAGGCCTGGAAAGGCACCTTGGGGTCTCTGTCCGCCCTCGGCTTCAGGGCGCTGTCCAGCTGGAGACGGAGCTGCAGTTGGCAAGATAGCGGCTGGATGGGGGCCCTGCCCCCCGGGGTCCCCCACCTGCCGGCCAGGAGGGTGATGCTGCAGCCCAAGCCGGGTTGGTCCAGTCTGGCCCTGCTGCTCCTCCTGCCCCCTACTGGCCATACAGCTCGGCCAGGCGCTGGAATCGTGGCCCCCATTCGTGAAGGTAACAGTAGTCCTGGTCTTCGTCTTCCAGGCTGGACAGGATGGAGCTCAGCGACCCACCGGCCGAACACTCCCCCTCGTAGTCATAGATGAGGGCCGTGTCGTAGGGGGGGACACTGGGGTCACTGTCGGCTGCCTCCAGGCCCTACACAGGAGACGGAGCAGGAATGAGCACAGAATTCTAGAGAAGGTGGAAAGGACCTGGGAGGTCTTGCAGTCCACCCCTCACTCAAGGCAGGAGACCTGGCTTATACCGTCCCCGTCAAAGGAGTTGTCCAGTCCGTTCCTGAAAACCTCCAGTGACGAAGCACCGGCTGGTCACAAGGCAGATTTAAGAAAGGTTGGGTGGGGGTCCCCCTCGCCCTTTTCCCACCCCCCCTCCCTGCCGGCCTTCTTGCCACCTTTCACCTCGTTGATGAAGTCCTCGATGTCAGAAGGGCATCGCTGGGGGTGCTGGTACAAGGCACAGCTATGGGGGGCATCCCTCCGCCGAAGGGGCTTCCCCCGGGGAGTCGAGGGGCCAAAGAGATCGGGGTCACGCAGCTGGGAGAGGTCGTAGGCATCCTGTGGGCAGAGAAGGGACGCACAGCCATCATAGCCCCATAGCTTAGAGGTGGGGAAAGGAGCTGGCCCCATGGCAACCCCACTGGTCTCACCTGGTCCTCTTCGCCACCCCCCTGCTCGTCGTAGTTGAGGATGTTGTCACGCAGGTCGTCCTGCCAGGCGCCCAGCAGCCCCTTGCGCAGCACCTGCCGGCGAGAGTGCTCCAGCCCAGCCACCAGCAGCACCAGCACTGCCCAGGAAGGGCAGGTCAGAGGCCCCCGTGCACACCACCCTCCCAGCACTCGGGGCAGCCGACCACACCTGCCTCCTGCGCTGCCAGCTCCTCTCGGGACTGCCCTGCCCATGCCCAGGCAGGCTGGGAAAATGTACCCGGCCAATGCAGCGCCCCCCCCCGCCAAATTACATAAATCCACATTCCCCCCCCCACACACACACATTGCTGCAGGAAAATGGGGAGGGGGCCTGGGGCACACAGGAGGGTATCTTAGCGCCAAGGTCTTCCTCTTTGCAGCAGGAAAGTTCTTCAGCCCAGGGGAGATCCTGGTGATGGACAAATGTCCACCCCCCAGGCCCAGAAATAGGATATGCGTCCTTTGGCTTTACAGATCCACTAACCTCCCAGCATTGACCTCCCCCCATGAACTTGGGGCAGATATCCGACTTCCCACTTCCTTTCTGGGACACTGGGGATTGCAGTCCCCTCCCCTTCAGCTGCTGGGCAAAGGTCCCAATCCAGCATTCAGGCACTTACACATGAGTAGGACAGCACTGCAGAGGATGGTCATCAAGGCGCCCAAACTGAGGCCTGCCGTGGCCCCCACAGTGGCAGCTTTGGGAGCCCCACAGGTGCCCCACCGACTGCAGGCACAGACCGAGATGTTCAGCAGCTGCTCTCGCACCCGTGGCGGGATGCCAGAGTCACTGACCAACAGTGGCAGGATGTGAAGACCCTCGGACACATCCACGGGAGGCTGCAGCAGCACGTGGGTGTCTGGAGTGGGTGAGGGGAGCAGGAAAGGGGGCATCAAGTTATTGATAACTGGGAACTGGACTTTTCCGATGCTCAAAAAAAAAAAAAAAAAAGCCCAGGGCCTGTCGCATCGCAAAAGAGCTCAAGAAGTCACTTTTCAGCTAGTTTCAGATTTTTAGTCCTCGGATTCCCCCAGTTTGGTGTCTGGCAAATTCGAGGCTGCCAGAAATCACCCCTCACACACCCCAGTCCAGTGCCTGGCAGGCTCCAGCTGGACCAGAGGCTAACTCTCCCCACTGAACGTTGCAAAGTAATGTGCTCTGTGGGGAGGAGCCTCTACCAGGAAGTCCAGTCCAGCCCGCCCCAAAGTCTGGGTTAAGGTCCCTTCCCCCATCACACGTGGGACCCAGGAAACCCAATTACCGTTGGGGTAGCTGAGAGTCCAGTTGTGGGCACTGCTGGGGCCAAGATGGAAGCGGAAGGGCCCTGCGTGGGGCGCCAAGTCCTCATCAGTGGCGCTCAGGACTAAGCCAGCCTCTCCTCTGCACAGCGACCCCGTTGTGGGGAAAAGGGAGGGCGCATGGTCGTTGACCTCCAGCACTTCGATGGACAGGGTCCCAGTGGCCGTGAGGGGAGGGATCCCTGAGAGAGAGAGAGGCAGACCCTGAGGATCGCAGCAGACCTTGGGGGTCTCTCCAGCCAGAGGCAACTTCCATGGAACGAGGGGTGGGCTGAGCGCTTTTCCCAGCTTCCACTCTTTTGCCAATGGCTGCTCAAAGGGGGGCCCAGTCCTGGCCCGGCTAAAGACCCTCCCTGAGTCCGGACCAGCCTCAGCTGCTCCTGCGGAAATCAGTTAGCCGGATTTTTGACCAGGACTGAGTTGCCCTCTGAAGCCCCCTTTGCTTCTTCTCTCCCCATCCTCCCCTGCTCACCCCCTCACCATTATCAACTGCCAGGATCTGTGTGATGTACCAGCCATCCAGGAAGGCTGACCGTGGGGGTACTTTCTGGAGGGCTTCCATCCGGCCCGATTCGGGGTCCACCTGCAGCCAGCTGGCCAACTCAGAGGCCTGCAGGTACCTGGAGAGAGGAGATGGGCTCAGGGGATGTATACTGTACATGCACACCCTCCCCCCATGTGCAGGACTTGCTTCCCAAAGAGCAAAGAATGGAAAGCCCCCTCCCCAATTTGCCAGACCCTCTGGAAGATTCCTCTGAGATCCCAGCTGCATCTGGAAAATGAGTGGGGTGCAGGGCTGACTCAGAGGCAGGGAAACCCAGTAGGGACTCCTTAGACATCATCCTGTGGATTTTTGCAGGGCTTGCTTTTAGGGATGGAGTTAATGAGGACTAGAGACTTCATTGTTACAACAAGAAGGAAACGAGGGTTGGGTTTGCTGGATTTTACCCTGAGTTCCGAATCCTGAGCACTGGCCAAGCACTGCACCTGTGCAGGATCTCCACCGGCCGGCTTGGATTTTGCTCACCTGAGCTGCTGAGCCTGCTGCGTGTCTGGGTCCCTGGCCCGGAAGAGGGCGATCGGGGTGCCAGGAGCTGCCCCTTCGTTCACCCTCCCCCTGCAGGGGTTGTCCAGGAAGAAGGGAGGCTCGTTGGCATCCATCACCTGGAGCTGCACCATGGCCAAGGCGTGGGTGGCTTTGGGGGCGGAGGGGTGCAGGGGGCTTTGGTTCTGCACAGAGACCAGCAGCTCGTAACGGTTCTGCTCCTCGTAGTCCAGGGCCTGGCAAGTGGGGGAGAGATGGGGAGACATGGGGAGGGGGAGCGCCAGCTCTTCTGGGACGCTACTGTCACACATGCACACACACACACACACCGTGCACGGCTGAGCCTTGGCCTTTGCTCTGCCGCCCCCCCCCCCTCCTGTCCTGGTGCAGAGACCTCCAGCTCGCCTCTCCTTCCTCTCCCCCCCCCCCGCCATCTGCTGCAGAAGCCGTCCCGGCCTTCCTTTTCCCCCTGGAAGGCTGAGCCTGCTGTCCTTCCGCTTCTGTCCGGAAAGCTTCAGACGGTTACTGGCCCACCACGTGGGGGGGGGGAGGAGAGGCTCAGCTAAAGTTGCAGGATGAATCTTTTCTGGGCCCACATTGCCCCTGCGCCAGAGCAGAGCCTGGCTCTTCCTTACCTTGGCCAAAGAGATGACCCCCTCATTGGTCAGGGGGTCCGGGTGGATGGAGAAAGCTCCTCTGGGGTCTCCCTCCAGGATGGTGAACTTGGCCAGCCAGTTGGGAGAGCCCGGCTGGTCTTTGTCCTGCACCGTCACCCGCCCAACCTCCACGCCAGGCTGGTTCTCGGGGGCCTCCATGTGGAACTGCACGAGAAGGGGGGCAGGCTGACCAAACCACCGAGGAGCCCCCCTTTCAACCTGCTCCTCCCCAGGAAAGAAGAGGGGTGGCTGAGGATGACCCCACCAGCAATGATGGGATCTTTTGGGTTCCCGTGGGGCAGCTAAAGGGCATTCTAACAGCTAGGGAAAAGGAGATTTACATGCTGGCCAGCTCCCCCACCCACCTTCTCCAGACTTGAGGGGTTTCAGGTGGGGCCGCAGCTGCTGTGTGACCCACAGAAAGGGAGAACTGAGTTGAACTCCGCCAAGCAGGAATTCTGCAGAGAGCTGCTCCTTCTCTGCCCAACCTCTGCTAGCGGGGTAAGACAAGACCTCGTTCACAGGTGAGGGTGGGCCAGACCAAGATTGGCCCCCTCCTCTTCATCCTATGATGCTGGGGGGTTCAGGAACCTCGCCTTCTAAGCTCTTGGCCCACCTCCTGTGCCAGGGACCTTGCCCAGCACTGCTTGAAGGGGGATGCCCAAGGAAGGGAGATGTGCAAGGGGTGGGGGGTGGGGATAACACTGCCTCTGCACCGTCTCTCCCCCCAGGCGGAGGGGCTGCTCTCCCACCTCATCCAACGTGAATTCAGGGGGGTTATCATTGATGTCCTCCACGTAGATGACCGCTGTAGCTGTGGTGGTCAGGCCTTCTCCAGCCATGTCAGCCACTTGGAGTGTCAGGTTGTAACTGCCCGTCCCCTGCACAGGAGTGCCAGAAACCGGTAAATGCTCCAGGAGTTCACAGTAATGTGCTGGGTTGTCAGCCAGCCGTATGTGGGACCCCCGGGCCATGCACTTCCTCAAGCTCCACTTGCTGACCACCTCTTCACTGAAATGACTGAACCAGTTTTGCAGATCAAATAAAAAGAAACGTCAGCTACAGATGCCTCAGGCTTCATCAACTAGATGTTTTAAATACTATTTTGTGCAGTCCTTAATAATAAAATAAATCCAAGTCTTGTTGCTATTAGCAAACAATTTGATTGTTAACGCTGCTAACATTGGATGTTCTTGTTTTGACAACATATGAAGATGCAGCCTTTTTCTTTCTTATGCTTTACTCTTAGAATTAGATGATGCTGTGGGAGGAGGTGGAGTGTGGTGGGAGTTAGTTAGACATAACAATATTGTACTAGCCTGTGAATTCAGAGCTTGAAATAAGAGATGATAAGAATTGGCAGGTAGCAGAACAGGAGGGAAAATTTGCATTTCAAACTAATTGGAGAATGTGATTTATGAAGTTAATTGGAGGAGGGAATTGTGCTTTGATACTATGTGCTCAGGGGAGGGGAATCCAGTTTTTGGCTTCAACTATGTTAGTGCCGAAGCTATGCTACTCCCATAAAGATTCTTTAAGGTAAACAATGCCTCGAAGTTCTTTGAGGAGTTTCATCTGTCGGAACCATGACATTGATTTTGTAAAATAATCAGGGAACATTTTATAACAATAATTGTGAAAGAGTCTACAGTAGTTGAAGTACTATAAGTTAGAAAGGAGGCATGGGCATTGTAATTAGGAGACCTCTCTCTCTCTCTCTCTCTCTCCCCCCCCCCATGGCCCTTTTTCTTTCATTTTGTGCCACTTTGTCCCTTAATTAGTGGCCAGAAGCTGCATCCAGACACACAAGGGAGAGGTCCATACCTCGCGGTCCAGCCCTTCTCCGGCGATCTGAATTTCCCCAGAGAGCTCATTGATGGTGAACAGCTCCGCCCCTTCTGGGCCCAGGATGGAGAACTGGAGTGCCGCATTGTCTGTCTCGGGGTCGTCAGCATCTGTGGCTTCTGCCTTCAACACAAACGTCCCTGAAAAACGCCAAGCATTTTTAGAGGCAGCCCGGGGCAATTTCTCTCCCGGCTGAAAATTTTCTGGGGCCTCTTTGGAAACACAATTGTCGCCCACAGAACAGAGTTTGCTCTGCCACGTGACCCAGCCCCACAGGCTCGGGGGTCACGCTGTAACTGTGGGAGAACCAAGAATGGAGGTCAAGATAATCACGTTTATCGTAGTTGTGTAATTAGTGCTTCCAAGGGCAGCCAGAAAGTGCACAGGTCAGGCAAATAATTAAGTAGATGGTTTGGTAATTCAGGGCTACTTAACTAGGGAGATGCACCATGAAAATTAAACGCATCCCATTCCCGAACGTGGGCTGGCCCCTCGTCATGGTCACCCAAAGTGAAGGCAAGGACAGGGCCTGCCTGGGCCAGGTCAAAGGGGAGCCGGTGCTACAGGATCCGTTCTGCCCCTTGGAAGACATTTGGCCAGACCCAGAGGAAGGTCCGGGCTACCCACCTGGCTCGGCCCCTTCCACCACGTGCCCTGTGAAGATGTCCTGCTGGAAGAGTGGCCGGTTGTCGTTCTGGTCCAGGACGACGATCTCCAAGTCGGTGGGCTCTTCCAGAGGCACCCCGCCCAGGTCGAGGGCAAAAGCCTTGAGCTGGTGGTGGGGAGAACAGAAGGAGGCCCATCTCAACTGGGGAAGGCAGCCTCTGCTCCCCTAAGGGACTCGGGACGGCTTATGGGGCAGGGTTTGATGGAGGTGGGAGGACTTCCTGCCCCCACCCTTTGGATAGAACTGGGGGGGAAAGGACCCAAACATCTGGATGCTGAGCTGATCAGAGTCTAACCGCAGCTTCCTTACCCGAAAGCGATCATGTTTTTCCCGATCCAGCACGGTATTGAGGTAGACCTTGCCGCTCCGGTTATCGATGGAGAAGATATCCTTGGGGTCTTCATCAACCCCGGGGCCCTTAATGCTGTAGACTACCACCCCTGGCTGCTGCTTGTCTGACTTAATCTGCAGAGAGGGAGGCAGACTCCGGGGGCTGAGAAGGCCTCCCCAAGCTCTTTCCCTCTCGCCCCCCACCCACACCTGAAGCTGAATAAGGTCGAAATCCCACCAGGGTTGGGACAGCAGAAGCTCCGGAGTTGGACTATTGTCCAGGGACGACTCTGGCTGCATTTTCAGCCAGTTTTTCCAGCTGTTCCTACAGATGTAAGAATGACCGTGGACTTGTGGCATGCTGAAGAAGGCCTAATGGGGAAATTTGGGCTCCCCTCTAGAGTTCGATGGGGAATGGGATCCCCTGGAAATGTGGGCCCAGAGGTCGCGAGGCATGGGCAGCAGCAGACCCATAACCCCCGGCCATCACATGGGTGGACACAAAGCAGGATCGTGAACACCCATCCCTCAAGGTGCTAATCCCTAAAGCATGCCAATTTAGTGACTGCATTTGTACTGCCTCTAAGCTTGCCTTTGCCTCCGTCTGCCTGGTCTCTAGGGGGGAGAAAGTCCGGCTGCAGAGGACTGAGTGCCTAGCTTTGAGAAGCAGCCGGCGAAGGTGTGGGCAGTGGCCAGAGAGGGGTCAGCGCTGGACTGAAGAGTGGCTGTCCAGCCACTGCCTCCTCGAGTCAGAGGGGTGGCACAGCAGCAAAAAAAGCTTTTTTCTTCCGCTAGTCCCGAATGCCCTTCCCTCCTGAAACTCTGCCTGCAAACCTCAGCTGCCCGTCTCTCTCATGCCCACCTGGACCAGAAGGTGGGGCAGCCGCCGGTAGTTCTCAGGTAGGCTGATGGGGGGGATGACCCAGGCCCGTTTGACCCTCCTCAGGGCGGCTTTCTCCCGTGGCTGCAGCTGCGGAACAGGATGCCTGCCAGAAGCCAGCCCTGTGGCACAACAGGCGTCCTGCTCGGAAGAAAAGGCGAGGCGGTCAAAAAAGTCAAGATGGCGGCCATGGCAGTGCCACTGAAGTACTGCCTGATTCTTAGGTGTGTATTTGTGTGCGAACGGGGAAGGAGAGGGCTGGGTCAGCCTGCGTTGGTGGAAAATCAGAAGGAACCAGAGGCCTCTTGTCCTCCCAACACATTTGATTAACAAAAGGACGTTGATGCCTTGGACAGGTGCTGCTGGAGTCCCTGTGACTTTTTTCTGTTGCTGCTCTCTCACCCCCACCCTCTGCCCCACTCCAGGGATTAATCCCCACATGCAGCACATTTGGCCAGCAGCTGCGCTCAGGCCTCCTCGCAAGCGGAGGCTGCAGAGTCTCCTCAGGGAGACCGGGGGGGGGGGCATTTCGCTGGGGAAGGGCCGGAGGGTTATGCATATTCCTTCTTTAAGGAGGCAAGTGCGCTGGCAAGTTAAGAGTGATACGCAGCCTGGAAGAGCCGGAGAGTCCCTGATGGGGCTCCGGCTTCCTTCCCCTGTCTGGGGAGATACACTTTCCTTTGTGAGGCCCAGAAAAGCAGCATTTGGGGAAGAAAACAGATGGCAAGTTTGGCAGAGACAACGTTGCTTCAAGATGAGGCATTCTCAGCCCCCCTTCAGAGGCCAGGCGGGGGGGGGGAGTCCAGCCAGGAAGCCCAGCAGGGGCAGGGAGCCCAGGGCTGCTTCTCCTTCCTCCCCACCAGCCCGGCCTTGCGTGGGATTTCTCGGCCAAGCCGTATCCCAAGGGAGTGGCGGGGACTTCCGGCATTCCTTCCCTGTGTTTGTTTCGGGAGAATTCGGCCTCTGGCCCTTTCCCACAGGACGCTCCAGACTCTCGGTGACTCTCCGGCCGCAGCTGGAGCCTTCATTCGTTTCAAGATCCTGGTCATACCAGGGCTACTTCCTGCCCAAAATAGGATTGTGAAACACGGCCTATAAGCCAATTTTAATTAAAAGCCATTACAATAATTTGGGAAGCCTGACCAAAGCATGAACTCTAAAACATTCCTCAAAATTCAGGGAGATCACGAGACTTTCAAGAGGCTGCTAAAGCTGACATGGGAAAAATCTGATTTCATCCCATTTCGTGCGGCAGAGGCTGCAGCCAAGAAGAGCCTCTTCCTGCTGACCCCTAACCTTGGGGACTGGCTGGAGGGCTCACGGGGGTGTCCTCCAAAGACGGCCTTAAAGAGTTTCATACTTGGAGGGGCCTCTGCCGGTGTAAATGGCCCTCCAGAACTTGGATCCCAGCCATTCCAGAACCCAGGCAATGTGCTGTGGGAGCTTGGCAAAACCTGGCAGGCGGGTCCCTTGGCTGAAAAGAGAGGCTTTGCAGGCTGCCCAGACTTCACCTCCCACCCTGGGACTACTCAAAGGGACCTGCCCTTCTCCCGGCCATGGCCAGCTCTGAATTCCGCTCCAGCAGGTGGCTGAACAGATGCAGAAGCCGCTGGTGGAAGAATGCCGCCTCCCCACAAGGCCCAGGCAGGGGGCAGGGTGCCCCTCCCCTCTCCTGCTGGGCATGCAGACAGGCTTCCCCAACCTGGCGCCCTTCTGAGATGCTGGAGCTGCTGAGTTGACGGGAAGTGCAAGTCAGCAGATTAAGTCTCCCCCCCCCCAAAATACGATTTAGAGGTGGGGGGGTCTTGCCAACTTGCACAGAAGTGGGTTAGCTTAAAATGGGGGGGGGTCTACCAGCCACAGGACTGGCCAAGCTCAGCCCAGTTTAAGCCTCTGGGGGCAGACAAGAATTTGGGGGAGGGGAGATGAACTGTGCCCTTCCTTGGCCCGGCTTCCCTCCCTGCAATTTCCCCCCTCAGTTAAACTTCACAGCAAAGCAGATCTAATGCAAGCCACATGGAGCCCACTCCCCACCCAACCCCAGCCGAGGGCTCACATGCTTCCACTCCCAGCCGCCCCCCCCCCGCCCGACATTCCAGGCTTGTGTTGTCTTGGGGCAGCTGGCAGAGGCAATGGGGGTGCCTCCTTCCCTCCCTGGGCAAAGAGCCAAAGGGCTGCCTAGCTAGGACAAACGCCAGCCATTTTGCCCCGTCTGCACCTCCGAAGGAGCAGCATCCTCACCCCACAGAGGAGGGGTGGGGAAGAGAAACTCCTGAGACTTTTGTGCAGAGTTGGGTTCTCTCTCATTTTTAAAGCCTCTTTGCCCCTGATGCAGGGAGGCACCGTGGGGTGGGGAGCCCTCCGTGTGGTACCCAGAAGCTAGAAAAACTGGATGGGCTGAGACCTGTGGCTGCTTGACTTTGTTACCTTCCAGGTTTCCTGCCCGGGGGAGAGATCCAGGGCCCCTGGCATCGGCCCCCTTTCCAGACTTTAAACCGAGGTTCATGGAAAGCTCTTCTGACACGGGCCAGATCCGGTGAGCCAACACAAAGGCCTTTTGCAAGACTGCCCTCCTGGCCCAGTGCAGATTCTGCCTCTTGGGTCACCACAAAGCCAGAAGGGGCCCCTCTGGGCCAGGCAGGACCCTGGCAACGGGCACTTGCCCAGCTCCTCCTGTGGGTGCTTCTCTCCCACAGATCAGCCCCAAGAGCCTGAGGGGACACCAAGACTCTCTCCAAACAATTTAAGGGGGGGCACCAAGGCCGGTCACCATCGCAAGTCCTGCAGCATGGTCTCTGTAGTCCAAAGCAGGAGCTGCTGAGGATTCCCTTCCCACAGCCGAAGAAAACGCTCCAGCCGCTGCTAGGAGCTGCCCCCCCCCAACAATGGAGTTTGAACTGGAGTGGGAGGAACTGCGGACTCTCCACTGGAAGCCCCTCTGGCCTCCACCAGCAGATCCTTGGCTGGATTCCTTCTGACAGCTGGGAGAGCCACCCTCCCTCCCTCCCTTCCTCTTAAGAGGTCTCCTGGGAAGGGAGTGGGGCTGCAGGGCCCCAAAAGGAGCCAGACACACTGAGCCCCAGCGAGGAAGGACCTCAGCCCCATCTCGCCCAGCTTACCTGAGCTGCGAAGGTGGCCAGGAGGCAGGAGCTGAGCCAGAAGAGGGGGACCATCTTGGGCAGCACCTGGCCAGCTGTTGCCGGAGTGCCCCTGCCTGCTTTCCTCTCTCCAAGGGGGCTGAGGCGGCTCAGCCTGGGACAGGAGCTAAAATAGCCTCGGCCGGCTGGCTGTGACAGACAGCACATGTGTTGGGGCCGGTCCAGAGGCTGGGAGAAAAGGGCCGGATGGCCTGAGCTGAGGGGGTGGGTGGGTGGGCAGGGTGTCCGGGGGGAGAACAGCCATTCCAAAGAGAAGCCGGAGGGGAAGGAAGGCTAGTTCTGGGCAGGAGCAGTGGTGGGACTCAGTCGGTTCGCACCAGTTCGGTAGAACTGGTAGCTAATTTTTTGTTGCCCAGGCACAAAATGGACTTCTGGAAGCAGCATCCACACAGAGAACCGGTTGCTCACATATTTGAATCCAACACTGGGCAGGAGTGAACAAAACTCTCAACTAGAAATTATTCTTCTAGTAAATTATGGAACTAAACGTTTATTTGCTATTTAATATTTGTTGCATAAGGAGACATCCTTAGTTTTCTAGTCTTCTTCGAGATGAGCTCAGTGTCGGGTGACTTTTGTCAACATGTCCTTCTAGTTTTATTGCCAGTGTTAGGAAAATGTTTCTTTTTCAGGATTTTTAAAGCCCCTCAAGTCCCTCTGCCAGACCAGAAGCTCCTCAACGACTGAGGGCCAGCCAGGAGCTCTTTAAGGGAGGGGCACTACCTTCCTCTCCCCACGGAGGGCATCCCACTCTCTGCCCTGGCAGGCAGAGCAGCAGCTGTTGGCTCTGAAGCAGTTGGCAGCTCTGGTGCATGTGTGTGTGTGTGTGTGTGCGTGTGCGAGAGGGAGGGAGGGAGGGAGAGATCTGGCAGAGCTGCAGCACCAGCTGGGCACCGGGGCTCCTGCCCAGAACGGCCAGAGTCTCTTCCCATGGAGGGAGCCCGCTGTGTTGGCAACCCTCCTTTGCTTCCTCTTCAGAGACCTTCCACGGCTAAGGAGAGCGGCGTCAGGATCGGTAGGGCCACGAGGGCAGCACCCGGGCCGGGTCCCCTGACTCGTGGGGCCCTCCGGCTTCAGAGCTTCGAGCCCCGCGAAGGAGCATCGGCTGCCCTAGCGCCGCGCAAGCGGGCCTCGGTAATGCTGCGCGGCGGCCAGCAGGGGGAGCCCCAGCACTAGCAAAGAGCTGAGAAGCCCCCGTTGCCTCGCCTCGCGCGTGGAGGGAGAAGGGCCCTTGGCACGACGCAGACGCCTCCGTGCAGCTTTCTCGGGAGCGATGGGTGTGTGTGCGCGCCAGGGCCTCCTTCGGGCTTTCTTTTTCCCACCTCCCAGTCCAGCTGACGTTGCTGGAGGAGCACGTCAGGTGCCCAGATCCGATACAGCAAACTAAGTGATAGGAGTGTTCCAGTATCTCAGGGGCTGCCCCAAAGAAGAGGGAGTCAAACTATTCTCTAAAACACTAGAAAGCAGGACAAGAAGCAACGGATGGAAACTAATCAAGGAAAAAAGCAACCTAGAACTGAGGAGAAATTTCCTGACAGTTAGAACAATTAACCAGTGGAACAACCTGCCTCCAGAAGCGGTGAATGCTCCAACAGTGGAAGTTTTCAAGAAGTTTTTGCCTGAAATGGCCGTAGGGTTTCCTGTTGAGCAGGGGGCTGGACTAGAAGGCTGCCAAGGTCCCTTCCAACTCTGTTATTCTGTTAAGTAGCTGCTGTGACCCAGCCTGGCTTCCTTAAAGGGAGAGATTTGGCCAGGAAAGTTCAGATTGTGGGGAGACATTTCTCTGTCACTCACTTCTGGTACACAGCCTTCGGAGAGCGATGGGACCCAGAAGGACCCAAGGGAACCAAGTGACTCCTTCAGCATCCGGTGGCATCCACACACACGTGGACCCATGAGGAAGGGGTGGGCTCTTGGTGGCCAAAGCGGCCAATCCCCTTTCAAGGCCACTGGCTGACTCCAGCTGCCGCTTCTGATAACCGCTGATCTGTCCTAGCTGGCTCCTGGCCACGCTGCCCTGTCGCCCCACATCAGCGCCCGGCCTTGACGGGATCTGAAGTGCAAGAAGAGAGCCAGACGAACGGGAGGCATATGGGAAGGGCTCCCAGAGGGCTCCGTGACATTCCTCCGCCCAGAGAGGGTCAAGCTCTCCGCTGTCCTGAAGGCTCGTTTGGAAAATCCTTCTGGGGACCTGCGTCGCCAGGCAGCAGCCGAGCTCTGAATCCTGACTGCATTTTCGGCCACCGAAGGAAGGGCGGCACCTTCCCTTCCAAGGCTCTTCTGCACAGGCGCTGGGGCCGCTCCGTGAAGCAGGAGTTGCATTCAGCAACTGCACAAGGAAAAATGCTTCCTTTGGCCATCTTGAATTTCCTGTGGATGGGCTTCATGGAATCACTGAGCCACAAACAGGGAGAAAGAGTTATACGTCCCTTTTTTTCTGCATCCCAAATAATTTCACAGGCTTCTGCGCCTCCAGCCCCTTCCTTTGTTTTTCCAGCTTGGCGTTCTCTCTTCAGGAGGCCTTGGAACCAGAAAGCAAGCCGAGCCCCATCTTCGGTCTGGTGATGGGGCAGAGGGTGGACTGGGCGCAAAAAGTCACTTGGCTTGAATCGGCCTAGCAGCTCCTGATCCCCTGCCTTGGTGGCCTGCAAGACATTGAAATGCTGGGGCTGGAGGGGGGGGGGCTTCCACCTTGGCTGCCTTTCTGTCTGGCAGCCCCTTGTCAGCCGCCTCTGCCTGACCTGATGCAGTGTGGCAGGGATGCAGCCAGCAGATGCTCCCTGCCATTGTCCCCGTGGGTGAAGTGGGTCAGGCCGGGCTGGCGACTTGAGAGACGGAGGGGGAGATCCTCCTTGATGGGGGGGGCGCGATGGGGGCCGCTCGGTGTTTTTCTGTCGTGGCCTCTGGCTCAGGTGCTGGGGGGACCCGCTTGGCTGGCCGGCTTCTTCCCCCCAGCCAGTCCTAAAAGCCAGAAGCTGGAGCCTGTCACTCTCCTCAGCGTCAAAGGAGGCCAAGGACTTGCCAGTGACCCTGCTGGCAGGCTGGACAGAAGGACAGGGGGGGGATGTGTACACACACACCACATACACACAGATACAGTCTTGCCCTCTGCTTCATAGAGGACTAGCATAGTTTGGAGGGAAGGAGATGTGTGTTGTGCTGTGCCTTACCTTTCAACAGCACAGAGGAGGGCTTGGCCAGGGAATGACAGGCAGAGGTGGCCAGAGACTCCCTGGTGGGTACTAGGTTGGCAAAATCCACCTGGAGACCCCCCTGGACAGGACAAGTGGTGCTGGAGCACCCCAAGGGAGAAGGAAGGGGACAGAGAGTGGCATGAGACCCCTTCTCTGCTTAGAGAGAAGGCAGCACTTGCTGTGGTGCCAAGGCCACCCCCTTGAGTGGAGAGAGCACTTGGCTTGGGCCCCTCCTCCACCTTCCAGCAGAACCAAAGCGTGCTGCGCCCACCTCTGCTGCACCCCCTCATTTTTCCCTGCCAGGCAGCAGCCCTGCTGTGGGATGCAGCAATAAAGGGCACCGAAGCTTAGGATTTTATACAGCAATAAAAGATAATGTCCGCCATAAAGAGTGTGGGCATTGCCCAGCCCTGGGGGAGCAGGAGTGTGGGAGGGGTGGGACGTGCTTCTTCCCCCTATGCAGGCAGAGAG